GGTGGTAGGCTGCAGTGGAGCTGGTGCTCTACTCCGTGGCCGTTTGCCTCCACTGACACTGCTGCGACCCTGCTGCCTCCTGGGCAACCCACCGACTGTTTTGCTCGCTGCCAAGCTGGCACCCGCTTCTCCTGATGATGCGGAAGCAATAGCCTGATGACGACGAGGCTGCCAAGTGCGATCAGCCTCATCATCATCAATTAGGGTCTCCCGCCTCACTAACAGATACTGCGTGTGGGTCAGGAGACAGACCTGTCTCTAGACCGGCTACTGAAGCCACTCTCCTCGCCAGTACTTCTTCGCCTGGCTGCTGAAGAGGCGGATGTCTCCCCCCGTTCCTGACCGCCCTCTGTTAGCTCTTCCTCACGTACAGTGGGGCTGAGCCCACAGCATGCAATACTTCGCTTGGTGAGGGAACACCAAAGACAGGGCAGGTAGAGGACACGTGATTTCAGTGGGCTTGCTCCCGGGCCATGCCAACTAACGGTTGTGTCCTGACGTACCCACCGACCGTTGGCTGTAGGGTGTCAGAGGTGACCTGGGAAGAGGAAGAACGACTGAGCCAACCAATCGATGACGGCAGGGTTGTCGGTGGAGACACAACCGCTGGATGACACCGGGAGCACTGGCCTGGCTGCGACTAGTGCTGCCTCGACCCCTTCCTCTGCTGCCACGTCTGCTCGCTCGCTCCTGAAAACATTGCCTCCTCTGCCACTCCTCTGCGTGTTGTCTGACATACTCTTTAATTCAATGATTCTGTGTCCCTGAGTAACGATTCTGTGTCCCTCAGTAACGATTCTGTGTCCCTGAGTAACGATTCTGTGTCCCTGGAGTAACGATTCTGTGTCCCTCAGTAACGATTCTGTGTCCCTGAGTAACGATTCTGTGTCCCTGAGTAACGATTCTGTGTCGCTCAGTAACAATTCTGTGTCCCTGAGTAACGATTCTGTGTCCCTGAGTAACGATTCTGTGTCCCTGAGTAACGATTCTGTGTCCCTCAGTAACGATTCTGTGCCCCTGAGTAACAATTCTGTGTCCCTGAGTAACAATTCTGTGTCCCTCAGTAACGATTCTGTGTCCCTCAGTAACGATTCTGTGTCCCTGAGTAACAATTCTGTGTCCCTGAGTAACAATTCTGTGTCCCTCAGTAACGATTCTGTGTCCCTGAGTAACGATTCTGTGTCCCTGAGTAACGATTCTGTGTCCCTGAGTAACAATTCTGTGTCCCTGAGTAACGATTCTGTGTCCCTGAGTAACGATTCTGTGTCCCTCAGTAACAATTCTGTGTCCCTGAGTAACAATTCTATGTCCCTGAGTAACAATTCTGTGTCTGTCCCTGAGTAACAATTCTGTGTCCCTGAGTAACAATTCTGTGTCCCTGAGTAACAATTCTGTGTCCCTCAGTAACGATTCTGTGTCCCTCAGTAACAATTCTGTGTCCCTGAGTAACAATTCTGTGTCCCTGAGTAACAATTCTATGTCCCTGAGTAACATTCTGTGTCTGTCCCTGAGTAACAATTCTGTGTCCCTGAGTAACAATTCTGTGTCCCTGAGTAACGATTCTGTGTCCCTGAGTAACGATTCTGTGTCCCTCAGTAACGATTCTGTGTCCCTGAGTAACGATTCTGTGTCCCTGAGTAACGATTCTGTGTCCCTGAGTAACGATTCTGTGTCCCCTCAGTAACGATTCTGTGTCCCTGAGTAACGATTCTGTGTCCCTGAGTAACGATTCTGTGTCCCTGAGTAACGATTCTGTGTCCTGAGTAACGATTCTGTGTCCCTGAGTAACGATTCTGTGTCCTTGAGTAACAATTCTGTGTCCTTTGAGTAACAATTCTGTGTCCTTGATTAACAATTCTGTGTCTGTCCCTGAGTAACAATTCTGTGTCTGTCCTGAGTAACAATTCTGTGTCCCTGAGTAACATTTCTGTGTCCCTGAGTAACAATTCTGTGTCCCTCAGTAACGATTCTGTGTCCTCAGTAACGATTCTGTGTCCCTGAGTAACAATTCAGTGTGTCCCTGAGTAACAATTCTGTGTCCCTGAGTAACGATTCTGTGTCCCTCAGTAACGATTCTGTGTCCCTGAGTAACGATTCTGTGTCCCTGAGTAACGATTCTGTGTCCCTGAGTAACGATTCTGTGTCCCCTGAGTAACAATTCTGTGTCTGTCCCTGAGTAACAATTCTGTGTCCCTGATTAACAATTCTGTGTCCCTGAGTAACAATTCTTTGTCCCTCAGTAACGATTTCTGTGTCCCTCAGTAACAATTCTGTGTCCCTGAGTAACGATTCTGTGTCCCTGAATAACAATTCTGTGTCCCTGAGTAACAATTCTGTGTCCCTGAGTAACGATTCTGTGTCCCTCAGTAACGATTCTGTGTCCCTGAGTAACGATTCTGTGTCCCTGAGTAACGATTCTGTGTCCCTGAGTAACGATTTCTGTGTCCCTCAGTAACGATTCTGTGTCCCTGATAACAATTCTGTGTCTGTCCCTGGTAACAATTCTGTGTCCCTGAGTAACAATTCTGTGTCCCTGAGTAACGATTCTGTGTCCCTGAGTAACGATTCTGTGTCCCTCAGTAACGATTCTGTGTCCCTGAGTAACAATTCTGTGTCCCTGAGTAACAATTCTGTGTCTTTGAGTAACAATTCATGTGTCTGTCCCTGAGTAACAATTCTGTGTCCCTGAGTAACAATTCTGTGTCACTCAGTAACAATTCTGTGTCACTCAGTAACAATTCTGTGTCCCTGAGTAACAATTCTGTGTCCCTGAGTAACAATTCTGTGTCCCTCAGTAACGATTCTGTGTCCCTCAGTAACGATTCTGTGTCCCCGAGTAACAATTCTGTGTCCCCGAGTAACAATTCTGTGTCCCCGAGTAACAATTCTGTGTCTGTCCTGAGTAACAATTCTGTGTCCCTGAGTAACAATTCTGTGTCCCTGAGTAACGATTCTGTGTCCCTAAGTAACGATTCTGTGGCCCTAAAGTCTCTCTGGCCCCTAACTCTGTCCCTAATACAGACAGGTCTGTCTCTCTTGAATGACCGGAGGCTAATGGAGAATTGTAAGATGGCCGCAATTTATAGCTCCACCATTACACAGTGCTGGCTGGCTGGCTGCTGATTGGCTAATGCGATCACATGTCATGAATGAATGCATTATGGGTCAGCGCGCCTTGTCTGCACGCCTTCCCAGAGATCCCGCGGCTCCGTCGCCACACATGTCGCCGCCATTTTGGGAAAATTCGATTCGTGCATCCGAAGTTTTGCTAATTTTCGGACTCGGCACGAATCGCTGCTTTCAGAAAATATATAATGTTTTGGGGGTATATTGTAATATTTAGGCCTAAAAATTATTTTTTAAACGTGTGCAAAAAAATGCAAAAATGGATATGGCAGCGAAAGGTTTAAAACATGGTTTTTAACACCTTTCTTCATGGCAAAACAATCACTGCAGCACCAACACACTTTGTGTTGCATTCCTGTGTGGCCACATATATATCAATATCATCATGCAAGCAATCATTTAATGTGACTAAATTGATCAAGCTAAATGTAAATCGCATAGCAAAGACTCTCCATTCAATTGATTTACTGAGCTCTCAATCGATTTTGGTTCTTCTAAGTTGATCAGCCAAGGCAGACTTATATTAAATGCTTCTGATTGATTGAACAAAAATCTACATATGAGTCAGAGAAATTACCGTAACTCAGGTTGATGAAGTGATCATTTTTTAATAGAGCATTTACATTTGTATCCAATGCATTTGATCAATATTTTCAGTTAACAATCTCTTGTGTGTTGTATAGTTTATTATTTTAATCAGTAATTATTTGTTTGTTTTGTGAATGCTCATACCTAAATCACAAATTGCTACTTGTCTAGCCTCTTTTAACTCACAGTAAACCATTTGTGATATGGAAGGGCCACTGTTTGTCACCTAAGCCAAAACTTCTCTTCTGGTTGACTATGTGTTAGCCTCTTGTTGACAAGATATTTATTGAGTTTGGATGAAAACTGATCGAGAAAATGCTCAATAGAGAGATTCTTTAGTATAGACAATATTATTGTCTGTTTAAAGGATTAGATGAATTTAGCAGAGCAGAGGGAAAGGTTTAATAGTTTATTGCAGTGCACAAGTTAGTGAAAGGGACACAAAGTAGGTCAGAATAAACTGGAACATAACAGGTAATAAAGAGAGAAGATGTTAGGAACAAAATGAAGTTGTTTACATTTAGAGCTGAAAGAAAATAGAGTTGCAGGTAGAAGAGGGATATGTTGTATTATTTTGTTGCATTCAAATATTAAATCAAATTGTTTAATTTTAATCCATTGAGAGGAAGAATTGGATCTAGGAGAATCACATATGCAGGCCATAGACTGGGCGTTTATCGGCCGAATTGTCGGCCGATAAACGAAAAATCGGTCGTTGCTGCCACCAATGCTGACCGATAAAAAGAAACAAGAAGAACCGCGAAAATCGGCCGACGACATTGCCCACTAACGGTGTGAATATCGGCCGATTATTCGTTCGGCCGACAATTCGGCCGATAAATGTCCCGTCTATGGCCTGCAATACTGTATGGGACAAAATTAAGCTTGGTTTAAATGTTTGAGAAGATAAGAGCCCTGAAAAGATAAGAATCAAGGGAGGTGAGGACAGGGGAGGACTGGGGAGGTCAACTGCAAGCAAGTGAGCCTTTAATGTTAGGGGTATATTTCTGTGAGCTAAAGAAAGTGTACTCTACAAAGTGAATCATGGCAAGGCAGTTATTGGTGGGCAAGGTGAAAGATGGGTGCTCCTAAAGGACATGGTTTATCGTGAGACAATTTTTCACATTTTCTTGCATCAGCTTCATTTGTGGATCATGTCAAAGACAAAACGGAAGTCAGTGCTGGTAGACTTTCTCTGCCAGGTGCTGTGACCACAGGTCTGAACAGAGAGTTACTGACTGTGGGTCTTGTGTTGCCTGAATGAGGCATCTCCATTGAGCCCAACATAAACTATATTGCCAAAAGTATTGGGACACCCCTCTCAGGAGCTCAGTGGATTCAAGCGTGGTATCGGTTTGCCTTCTGTGCAGTAAGTCCATCAATTAAATTTCCTTACTAATAAATATTCCACGGTCAACTGTTAGTGGTATTATTACCATGTGGAAGCAACTGGGAACAACAGCAACGCAGCCACAAAGTGGTAGGTCACGTAAAATGACAGAGCAGGGTCAGCACATGCTGAAGCGCACAGTGCACAGAAGTTGCCAACTGTCTGCAAAGTCCATAGCTAAAGACCTCCAAACTTCATGTGGCCTTCAGATTAGCACAACAACAGTGCATAGAGAGCTTCATAGAATGGGTTTCCATGGCCAAACCGCTGCATCCAAGCCTTAAAGCATGCCGCCAATGTACTCTAGAGCAGCAGGGAAACGTGTTCTCTGGAGTGACGAATTCTGCTTCTCTGGCAATCCAACGGATGTGTCTGGGTTTGGCAGTTGCCAGGAGAACGATACTTGCCTGACTGCATTGTGCCAAGAGTAAACTTTGGTGAAGGGGGGATTATGGTGCGGGGTTGTTTTTCAGGGGTTGAACTTGGCCCCTTGGTTCCAGTGAAAAGAACTCTTAAAGGGTCAGCATACCAGGACATTTTGGACAATTTCATGCTCCTAACTTTGTGGGAACAGTTTGGGGATGGCCCCTTCCTGCTCCAACATGACTGCGCATCAGTGCAGAAAGCAAGGTTCATAAAGACATAAATGAGCGAGTTTGGGGTGGAACTTGACTGGCCTGACCTCAACCCGATAGAACACCTTTGGGATGAATTATTGCGGAGACTGAGAGCCAGGCCTTCTCATCCGACATGAATGCCTGATCTCACAAATGCGCTTCTGGAAGAATGGTCAAATATTCCCATAGACACACTCCTAAATCTTCTGGATAGCTTTCTCACAAGAGTTGAAGCTGGTATAGCTGCAAAGGGTGGGCCAACTCAATATTGAACCCTATGGACTAAGACTGGGGGATGCTATTAAAGTTCATGTGCGTGTAAAGGCAGGTGCCCCAGTACTTTTGGAAATGTATTGTATATTATAAGTAAAATATAATTATAAGCAAATTCTCCCCAAGTCTAGTTCTCCCCCTGAGTAGAGGTGAAGGAATCTGAAAAGAGACTATGGTTCACACTGTACTGATTGCTATGCCCACAAGACCTAGAGGTAGGTCAGGAATACCTTTTGGGTAGTGATATTAAAAAATTAGAAATTAATGGTCAGAGAGCAGGAAAGTAAATGATATGATGAAGGGCAAAATGAAAAAGAGAAAATATGGAGTAGGGTAGACATCAGGGGCAGACTGACAACTCATGGGCCCCTGTGTCCTTGCCTATGAAAAAAGCCTATGAAAAAGGTACCAGGGGCATCTCATGGGGCCCCCTACTGACCCAGGGCCCTGGGGCAGTGCCCGAGTTTCCAAATGGTCAGTCTGCCCCTGATAGACATCATCTATTCAACAGAAAAAAGAAGTATGAGCTTTAATTTGTTGAAACCGCTTTTTTCTTATAAACATTCTTCTGAGGTATATTTATCAAGCTAGAAAATATCTTGCATGCATTATATTATACTACTGAGTCTAATCACTGCATTCAGAATATTTCCATAACAGCTAATAGCAGACTTGTGCCTGCAAAGTTAATTGCTGAATCACAAATAAGTAATGCATAAAAAGTAACAGCATTTTCAAGTACAAATCAATTTATTCAGTAAAACATGCTGAAACTTTAAGTGGAAGTATTCCTAACAGGGTCTGATTTCCAAGTAACATTTCATGATTTGATGAATTTGTGAGCTATGCATGTAGTTTTAATATACTTTGCTGTGCCTCAGCTGAATAAGTCATTTGCAGCTGATACATTTAGTCAATGAAATGACACATTTGCTGTGTAATAAGCACAGCTACGCAAGCCGTATTTTTAGCATATGCTCAGCAAGAGCTAGCATTAAACTTTGGAAAATGATCTGCTTGTTTTTTTCTGACGGTGCTTTTCTTGTTGTTTTTTTCCTAAATAAATACAATAAATGTATCAATTTAGCTGTTGGGGTTTTAGTTGTAATTATTTGGGATCTTTGAATTGTGACAGCAATCCAAGGACTCAAGACTTCATGTAACATTCCAATCAAACCTCCTTTTAATATCTCTGTCAGGGAATTCCTATTAGTCAGCTGGAACGTGGATTCATGTGCACACCCAGCATTGGCACCAGATGGCCAATTTAAGGGATGCTCAAACTTAGTATCAGTACTGACTGGTCTCAAGCTCCCTGACTTGTGTTCTGCATGTGATTCCTGTTATCAACTCAACTTCCTACTGACCTGATTTGGATCATGCACTGTACTTCTGTCTTACTCATTCCTGAGCTCAGCCTAATCCCTGATCTTGATTCAGCTCTTGATTTGATACTTCATTGTGCAGTCGTTGCTGATCTCAACTTGATCTATGACTTCATGTCTGCCTCTGATTCTGCTCCATGCTATTGTCAAGTGTCTACTTGCCTAACATACTGATGCAGCTGTTTGTATGTGTGTGTATATATTGTGACAGTAGGCAGGTGAAATCACCTGGTTGCGTCCTGGATGGACGATATAAATTTGTCCGAAGTTCAAGGGTTATATGGGGATTTGTACCACTAGAGGGAAGTGCTGAGTCCCCTTCAGCACTGAGCCACACTTAATGAGCCCAGCTGAAGGAGTGGGCTCATTAACACCTTTATAAAGCTTCCCAGAGTGCTTAGGGAGTGCTCCACCCTAGAAACCAGATCTGTGCCTGAACTTGTCTGGGGAGCTGACCTGTTATATACTGTGTGTGCAGAGTAGACCAAAGCCTGTGTGGCTAATACCTCCCAGTACTAGCAACTAGGTAATATAGCAGCACAGGCTGTACCTAGTGGGTAGCTAGGGAAAAGCTTGTTGTTGCAGTAAGTAGCCAAGTATGTGCCAGGATTTATTTTGATGTTTTTTTTTGGTTTATCATTTTTTTTTCTGTAAATATTTATGATAAATAAATTGCACCTGTTAATTTGTTTTCAACCTCCACTATTGTTGTGCTGTGCCTGCCTATAATTTTTTGTGTTGTGCACGCACCCATAGAACCAGGGGTCACACACAATCACGCTACGCTGCCGAGCTAACCTTGTTACAATATATATAGATATATAAAATATATATATATTTATATTATTACACAAATATCCACTAATAATCATATATAGATGTAGAATGAACTGTTTTATTTTTCTTATTTTATATTGCTTAAATATTAATACATAAGTTTTATTTATATAGTGTATCCCCATTCAAATACATTTTTAAAGAGTTATACTAAAATATAAGTATACCCTTATCTGTGGACCTGTCAACATAATTAATGTGCATAGTCTTCCAATCTTTTACTCTATTCACTACAGACAAAGACGAAAAAAGGTTTTAATTCATATCTTGTCAAATTAGTTTTTTCTAATTAAAGAATACCATCCTTGTTCTTAGAAAATATAGTAGTAGTCAAGAGTTCAACTTTTAAATGTGGATGTTCTATATTGTAAGACAGTGTGCATGTTTTCTAGACTAGAGACTAACAATTTTTGCTTAATATTGAATATTAAAAGAAGAAGAATATCAGTAATAATCATTATGATATCAATTACACATATGCTAATGCATTTGAATAATATGAAATACATAGGTTAATATGAAATTCTACTACACACACTTCCAATAATTTAAGCGCTCTTACTCCCCTTTTGTTTCTTCCATCACCCTACAAAATCTCTCCTTAGGAATGTACTTCTTACTGTACAACATGTGTTTGAATTATTCATAAGCTATATATAATGCAGACATCAATTCCTATACTGTTATTACTCAATTCATTAGCAACCAGTTACATAATGAAGGTATGCCAGCTGATGCAAAAGCTGGCATACTCCTGTACTGTATGGGTAACAGGCAATAGAATGCAATAAAGTAACAAAGTGGGTTAAAAAAGTATTCTATTTGTTTATTTTTATTAGATATACTGTGTGTGTGTGTGTGTATATATAAATATATATATTTATTTGTTTTTAATTTTTATTTATTTTAATAACAAAACCAGTGCTATTTAATTGGGGTTGCAGGACTATTGACCAGGCCTGTATTGACTGAAAATACATCTCCAGGGAGTGGAACAAGAAATCAACCTTTCTTCCTCCTCCCACTTGTACCCAATCTTTATATATGCCTAAAACTTTAGCCAATAGACAGAAATTCCCAGGTCATCTTTCTTCTGCTATGTAGTGCATCTCTTTCCAGTGATGTTGGTACTGCCCATCGGTACCACAATTGTCAATCACTGGGTACTCAGTCATTTTCGAAAACATTACAGTTGGGAATTATGATGTGGGGCGGACACATGATCCATCAGCTAATCAGTGGTGAACAAAGAGAGTAACTTCCAATCACCTGGCTGCTAGAAGAATAAGGATCATGTGATTGCAGTTTTGGGTGTTCCTTTCTTGGTTTTAGGGTCTTTTTTATGCAGAATGGCTGGGTGCTGGTGGGGTGGGAACTAGTTAAGGATTGTTGTTTTGTTTTTCTTTTTGTTTTGTTTTTTACTGGTGATGGGCTTTATATTGGTAAATAATAAGTTGCAATGCCTCAATAGTTTGTATACTGGGTCAGGGTGTTTTAGGAATAAATATATATAATTACAAATAATGCATTCTAGCATGTACCAAACGACTACCAATATGAATTTTCCCCAGTGAGTGATTGTGTCATTTGTTACTAGTAGCTCCTAATTATTCTGTACTCCAAGCATTGGTATTTCATTGCACATCTCACTGTAGTGGTCTGTTGAAAGTGATATTTATAGAGCATTTTGAACTTTACAAAGCATGCACAGATGTCATGACCACATAGTTTGTTATATGCCTATGCTTGCTATGATTGCTGCTTCTGCGAGAAAATATTATGATGTTACCAAACTTGACTTATGTACCTGCTATCAGCTGATATTTATTTCCAGAGTGACCTGGATTACCTAAATCATTGACTCACAAGGTTTTTTCTTTCAAACATTTTGTAACTGTCAGCTATTTTCTGTGGACATTAACATGCAGATTTATTTTTAGTTGTTTATTAGAAGTGATATGTACATTCCTAATGGCAGATTGAAAAAAGTGTGAATGCATTATAAACATCAAGACACAACAGGGAAGCCAGAAGCCAGTAAGTAATCATTATTTTTTAAGTGGTTGTCATTTCTGACTGTACAGGAAACTAACATTATAAAATGAAAAAAAATAAAAACATCAAATGAACCTGATTGGTTGCTATGGGGAA